GAGCCCCAACCCGCTCGTGACCGCCGTCAAGCCACCACCGGACGACGCTCCACCAGCCCGACAGCCCATGCGCGCTCTCCAACGAGATCCGTCGATCTCAACACGTGCCTCGCCTCAACCCCGAGCTCATTCGCCATTTTCCACTGCCGTCCCCCTCGTCCACCGCCACTCACCGAGCTCGAACCCCATGCCAAATCCGACGCGTCGCACTGACAACGTCAATCTGTTCGTCGAAAAACCCCAAGGCAAGATTCATCTTACTCTGATCTAAATTTTATACCTGTTATAAATTATTTACATAGATTAGTTATGATATATTTATCTGCGTGGGATTATTTGATGAAGAATATTAAATATATCATAGTAATATGATAAATAGCTTTTTTAGAATAATTTTTATGAATTAAAAGAATTTATTTCGGTAGTGGAATCATTTTTTGGATAATTATATTAATTAAAAAGAATTTATTTGAGAACGGATCATTTAGAAAAATTATAATAATTTAAAAGGAATTATTTTGGAAAAAAAATTATTTTTGATAATTATGATGATCTAAAGAAATTTATTTGCAAAAAGAATTATCTATTTTAGATTTTAAGTAATTTATGATTTTGTATGAATAGTTTAGAGGGCTGGATAACAAGATATTGATGAAACCGGACTGTATGTATGTTTTTACTGTTTATGATCATATTTCACGTTTTGCATTTATTTAACGTATTTGACATGTCTGCTATGTATTGTCCATGTTGTGTTTGAGAACCCTTAGTAGTTCATGACTTAGTGGCCTCATACGTCATGAACAGACTTAGTAACATGTGTGAGTGTATTGACTGAGTTTAGGTGGTGAACCAGAGTTTTAGTGTGGGATACGACTGTTGATTTAGAAAAAACGAGAAGAGTTGGGATGGGAAAGTTAATGTTCACGTGATCGGATAAGACTGTTGATGTATCTTCCAGGCTCACACCAGTGAACCGTTTCGCATTGGGGTTAGTTTGTTAGGCCAAGTGAACCATTTCGCACTTGGTCAGTGAAATCGTTTCGTCACCCGAGTTTTGCTTGAGTTCGAACCAGGCCAAAATCGGATTGCGTGTAGGTCTCTCATCGAACCGTTTCACGGGTTTGGATGCACGTAGGGGATTTGTGAACAGTCAGTTATTCAATGATATGAGTGTTGACTATGTGTGAGATGTGACCAGTGACCTGTTATAGAATGGCTAGTTACATGACCTTGTTATTTAGATGATTATGGATTCTTGTGAGATGTAGGCCAGTTATGTTTTTTTCATCATGTACGCCTCGTCGAATGTAAGATCTCTGCTAATAACTATCTTCTTATCATGTGGATCCCACAATTTGAAGCATTTTACTCCTTCTCTAAAGCCCACAAAGACTACTTTCTTTGCCCTTGGATTCAATTTACCATCACTGATATGGTAATAAGCTGGACATCCAAATATCCGAAGCGACTTATAGTCACTAGCCACCGAACCAGACCAATGCTCCATAAGAGTCTTCCCCTGTATCGTAGTGCACGACAACCTATTCACGAGATAGCTCGCACAAACCAACGTCTCGGCCCTAAAGGATCTAGGCAATCTACTTTACGTCATCATACATCGCACCTTCTCCAGCAAGGTACGGTTTAATCTCTCAGTCACCCCCATTATGTTACGGTGCCTTTCGAACTGTGAAATATCATCTAATGCCATGATCCTGGAAAAACTGCAGAAACGGATCACTCTTATACTCTTCTCCATTGTCCGAACGAAGAGTCTTCACCTTTCTACCTGTCTGCAGCTCCACTTTCTTCTTCCACTCCACAAAAATATCCAGGATCTCATGTTTATGCTTCATAGGGTATACCCAATTTTTCCTGGAATAATCGTCAATAAAAGTGATAAATAGTTGGCCCCACCAAGTGATATATTCTTGGAAGGGCCCCAAACGTCTGTGTGAATGTAGTCCAATATACCTTGGGTATTGTGAATAGCGGTACCAAACTTCACTCTTATCTTCTTCCCAAGTACACAGTGCTCACACAGCTCCATCTTGTAGGTCATCACACCTTTCAATAGCCCCTATTTCGCCAATACCTACAGGAACTTATCACCAGTGTGTCCTAAACGCATGTGCCATAAATTGATAGTGTCCTCCTCTGTAGTGATAGAAGCTGTCAGACCCCCTGTAACTATCTTACCCTTCAAGTAATATAGGTTGTTTTCCCTGATACCTTGCATCACCACCATGGACCCCTTCATGACCTTCAGAGTTGCATTATCCAAGATCACTCGATAGCCAGCTACCTCCAAAGTTCTAAGTGAAATAATATTTTTCGTCAACTGCGGCACGAACCTTACTTCCTTCAGCTCTCGAGTAACCCCGTCACACATGCGGATCCGAACTGTACCAATACCATCTACAGGGCATACATGGTCATTACCTATAAGCACGACATCCCCTCTTTTCAGCTCCTCAAAGCTGGAGAACCAATCCTTCCTAGGACAAATATGGTATGTAGCACCAGAATCTATCATCCACTTCATAGAGTCAGCGTAATAAACTGACGGTAATGCTGAGCATGAAAAGCCTGAAGAATCTGTATCTGAATTGTCGTCACTAGCCTTGACAACATTCACTTCCGAAGCTTGTACAGCTTTTTATTTATTCTTCCCAACTTTGTCATTTAACTTTGGGCAGTCGATCTTCCAATGTCCTTCTTCTTTACAAAAACGATATTGATTCCTACCAATACTCTTATGGCCACCTCTATTCTTCGATTTTGTGCGGTTGAACTAGTGGCGGTTTGGATCACGGCCTCGAACTGTTAATGCATCTCCCGATGCCTTCTCGGAGGGTTCACCATCACTCTTCCTCAACTCATAATTTACCAACATTGAGGTCACCTCCTTATAACTAATAGTAGTTCTTTCATTGATCATAGTGAGAACGAACGTACCATAATCATCCTCCGGCAACGAACACAAAAGTAGCATCACCTTGTCTTCATCCTCAATCATGATGTCCACATTGACCATATCTAAAAGTAGCTTCGTGAAGTTATTTACATGCTCCCTAATGGAAACCCCGCTCTTCATCTTGAACTGGTAAAACCTCTTCTTCAAGTGAAGCCGATTCTCAATGCTCTTAGTAAGATACTTCTCATTGAGCGTTTCCCACAATCTCTTCGTCGACGTCTCGTTCATAACATCATAAATAAAATTCGGCGTCAAGCATGACCAAATAACTCCACAAGCCCTACTGTTCATCTTCTTTCAAACCTTGTCCTCCATGTCTTTGATCTCTTTTAACTTAAAAGTCTCCTCCAAATTCTGTGCATCCAAGGCATCCATCACCTGACACCTCTACAAACCAAAATTGATCTTACCGTCGAACTTCGGAATATCAATCTTTGTATTATTGATGCTCAGACTCTGTATCACATTTGAAAGAGACGAACCCGATGAGCTTGTTTCATCCATGTTGTAGATCTAACTCTTCAAATAAGAATCCTTCAGCGAATCCTTCGAACAAGCCTCAAGCCAAAACCTAGGCTCTGATACCACTTGTAGTGCGCAGCATGAATTTCGACAGCACTTCTGGTGTACAACAAGAGAGTAAGATCACAACTAAATCCCTATTTCACAAAGGAAACAAGAATCGAAAGTAATATATCTCAACAAAGTGGGATATACACTCTTCCTCTCATCAGTTCTAGGACTGACTTGTCGAGTGAACCTACAAGCTATTACAAATCACAGCAAGACAAACTATTTTTTACGTGGTTCGGCAAGTTGCCTACACCCACGGGGCAAGGAGGTGGGAGATCTACTATTAGAGAGAAAGAAAATACAAATAGGGTTTATAATCACACAAGACCTCACAAATAAAACCCTCAAACGAATCTCTCAAAAGAGATGCACAAACTCTCTCAAAGTCGGCTCCAAATAGTGCTCAAAATATCCTCCAAATCAGCCGAAAGTCCTCTGTACTTTGCTACAACCGAAAAAAGATCTCTGCCGTTTTTTTCTTTCTTTTTTTTTTTGGCCTAAGAACTCACGTGAATATTTATATCATGAGAGTGAATCGGACGGGCCTGGCCTGCTAATCACGCGCAAAGAAGCGCTGTGGCCCCCACCCCCACTCACAATTGGCTCCCCTTTTCCCTCGATGGCTTCGACATCTCCGTAAAATCATCAGCACTTTCAAGTTCACCTCTCTTGGCTGTCGACTTCTCCGATCACATCTCGTGCTCTATCAGATTCGGTCGCCATAGCGTTTCTTATCAGATCTCGTGATCTGCGGCAAATATATAATCCATGTCATCCTCACAATTAGTCATATTGATTAATTAGTTCGTTGTCAACTTAGTTTGACAACGTCGATATTATGGAAATGAGGGGCGTAGCTGTTCAGTTGGGTAATATACACGCTACAATTTCAGATTAAATTTTTAGTTCACTCTATTCTTAACTCATTGCCTACTAAACATGGGCCTTTTAAATTAAATCTCTTACAATGCACATAATAAAGTAGGTTCTGAGAGCATCTCCAACAACTTCCCCATCTTTTTGAAATGCTCAATTTTGGGGAATATAGAGGTTTTTTTTGGTCCAACAGATTCCCCATCCCATTCCCCAAAATGGGGAAGGAGGAGAAAAAATAGGGAGCCTTCCCCAAATCTGCAGCATTCTCCAAATTTTTGGAGAGAGCTTTATTATTGTAATAAATGCGATTTTTTAAAATGAGGAAGCTGTTGGAGTTGGAGCAAAAATAATTTGGAGAATATGATTTTTGTTTCTCCATTTTGGAGAAAATTTTGGGGAAGCTGTTGGAGATGCTCTGAGGGGATGCGCGGTCCCATCCATATGCGTTCAAGAGGAGGAGACGTTGAAAGTTGAGAAGTTGTAATCAGCATATTTAATTAGCTTCTCATCAGGATGGGAAGAGCAAGAGTCCTTGGAAAATTAAAAGGAAAGAAAAAGACTTAATTTTGACATGCAGCTTTTGACATGCAGGGATGCAGGGCCATATTTTTCGGAACACCCTTTGTAATTGCATGTTAGTTCAGACGTCAGTTTTCAATCGATAGTCACTTCCATCCTCTACAATGAGAGCAACATCAAATTACAGAAAAGAGCTCCAAAATTGTTATAAAAAAAAAAGAGCCGTAAGCTTTCAGTCAGCAAGAAGCCATGGCCGCTCCCCAGATCAAAGGCGACGTTGTCGACACCGACCAGGTAACCCGTTCTCGTTTCCTTTGCTCGTCTAAATTTGAAAGGAGAAAATAGAAAACAAACCTGCAAAGATTTACCCAATTAAGACCAGACTTGACACTTTCGATACTCAATTCTTGCTAGGTTTTGGTGGAAGAGAAAGGATGCGTGAGGGTACTGACACTGAACAGGCCGAGGCAGTTGAACGCCCTCTCATCTCAGATGGTAATGCCTCTGAATCCCTGATTGCTTGCGGTCAATTTAAGCGTCTAATCACTAGAAGTGGAGTGATCTAGTATTATTAGAATAGAGATAAGTCTTGCTAAGAAATTGATATGATGTTGCCTACAACAACAACTACATCTACAAAGCCTTTCTCCCGAATTCCTGGTTCGGCTACATGAATTTTATTCTTGGGTAAGTTTCACAAAACCCTTTTAGGTTTGGCCGTCACAGAGAAAACCCCTCCAATCCAAACTATAGGGTGTGTTTGGCAACCCTGTAAAAATTAGGCTAGGACTGACCCGATTTTAAGTGGTTTCTTGTTTGGCAAATGAGAGGGCTAGAGCTGACCTATTTTTTTATAGCCTAAAATTGGCCACTAAACCAGTTTTCTTTTGGACTTTTGGACTGGGGGGTTGGTCCAAAAGAAAACTGGTTTAGCAAAAAACTGGGCCACGACTGATCCCGGGCCAATTTTAAGTAGTTTGCCAAACACATTCTTAGAAATGCCACTCACATTCTTAGAAATGCCAATTTTAAGTGGTTTAGCAAAACACGTTTTGTCAAAAACTAAAATCACGTGCGTCCAATCGACCAAAATGCTCCTAGGTTCTTTTGATGTCCTTTTCAGTAACTTTCAACGTAATTTTCACAAAACACCCCTTAAGTTTGTTAGATTAGGAGAATTTAACTAATCTAATTAATGATTAACTAATTTGAATTAATTTAATAATTAGAGTATTAATTTGGAACTTAAGGTAGTTAGATGACATATTTTTAAGTTTAGGTTGGTTATCTCAAAGGTGGTCAAACTTAAAGAGGGTTTTATGAGATTTGACCTTTATTCTTCCACTCAGTTCTATTATGAGTCATCTCCTATGTTTTGACTATTACTATGCCATTCATAATTGCTTCAAACTAATTTATTTTTGGTCTATCTTTGTTCTCTTGTGTTCATTATGTATAATATAATCGGTTCACCTAACGGGTATTTGTACATGAGCAAACTAGCTTAATCGATTCTCTTTCATTTTACCCTCGATAGAAGCAACCTCTAACCTCTATATGCATTCATTTTTATCTATCTTTTAAATATGTATCCACAAGATTATCGTACTGTTCTCATTTCTGCTAATCTGATCTTGAGATGGGTCTTTCAGATTTTGAAATTGCTGAAGCTTTTCACTGCTTATGAAAAGGATCCTACGGCCAAGCTACTAATTATGAAGGTACATTTCCCTTATTGGTAATTATGTACATAAGGTTTACTTTAGGGCAAAGAGGATAGTTTACTGCTATAGCCATTGAAAATCTACCATACATGGGCATGCCCAATCGTTATTCTTTGACAAAATGGACATAAGGTGTGACTATGTGCTTGTACATGACCAAACCTTAAAGTATTGATAATATTCTTATTTTGGCAATAAAACAAGAGCACGCTACATCTGTGCCTATTATTATCTAAGTAAATGAAGATGAATAATTTTGCCCATGGACAGTCCGGTCTTGCCACAAAAGATGAGGCATGTCATAAAAATCACAGTTAAACATGACGTTTGTGGACCTTTTTCCCTTTCTTTAATTTCTTGCGTGGAGAAATGAATCTTTTACTTTTCCTTTTTTTTTTTGGGCTCTGTTCTTGTTCTAAATGTTTACAGAGACATGCGGGGAGACATGCGCTATGAAAGCAACCATGTTAGTGTATTTTAATGCTTGGTTCCAATTTTCTAATAAGCAAACAATACTAATTGCCCGTTTCTAGCAAGATTAATTAGGCTTTTTTCCTTTATGGAATCCGCCAGTACAAGAAAAAAGTTTAACAACAATTTTCTTGCTGAATTTAATGATGTGAAATTGTTATTTAGAGTTAAACGGTTCATTTTTCTTGTTTCCTTTCCTTCCCTCTTCTGCTAATTTTTCTCCACATCATGTTTCCTAGTTCTCACGAGATATAATGGCGGTGCGCTGCTATCGCAGCTCCCAGTTACGAAATTATATACTTACCACCCTCACCAATTAAAGCTATGAATAATGGGGATGCACATTATGAAAAACCTACATAATTTGCCTTCTACATCCTCTGTTCTTTTTTTTAATTAATTGGATGTTTTGTATATTTTCTTCATCCTCCATTAGCTATTTCTTGTTACGCTCAACTTTACAGTCTCTACCATCCTGATTCCTTTGTTGTTTTGATAATCATATGCTGATTTTGTCTATATTTGATTGATGCACTGTTTCTAGGGAAAAGGAAGGGCATTCTGTGCAGGATCAGATGTATCAGCAGTAACCCATTCTATTACACAAGGTTCATGTGCTGAACACTATAGTATCCAACCAGATTCTAGTTATAGACAGCAAATGCATGTTATCATTTATTATATGCCTGAACATTGCAATGTCACATTTGTATGGTTGTCAACTGTAAGTCATGCTACGTTTCATATACTATATGAAAGGGTTGCATCAATTATGAACGAAAATGGATACCTTCATTTATCAATCAATCCATGGCATGTTATCAACTTGAACTTATGTGATGGATCAGGTCATTGGACTAACGGTGCAAACGTGTTCTGGAATCAGTATATCTTAGACTATATAATTGCGACTTACAGCAAACCTCAGGTGGTTCATATGATTTATCTTTACTAGACTTTTTGTATCGATTTCCTCAATAGCTATGTTAAATATGGTGTAATTGGTGATTGAAGGTTTCTTTTCTGAACGGATTTGTAATGGGAGGTGGAGCCGGTGTTTCAATTCATGGAAGGTTTCGGGTCGCTACAGAGAAATCGGTACAACCTTCATACCTACTTTATTTTTCTAGTATGACCTTCTAAGCTAATCTAAAACTTTCACTGCTTGGTTCAAGGTGTCAGTTTCTTGCTCATTTCAGTTTAAGGTTGCTTTTTATGTTTTTACAGTGCATGTAGGGTACCATTACCCTGAGCAGGCAATTTTCTTTTATTTCTTCTTTTGCCTACAACCCAATTGCTGACAAAATATTCATTACTTATTGATCGATCTTCTCAAAACTACTATTCAACGTAAAAGAAAACTTATACTTAATGTTCACGAATGAATTGTTTTCAAATTGGTCCTTGTTCTTTGAACATGACTCTGGGAATGTTCAAAGAAAAATGTTATTCATACTAGAAGCAAGCACCCTTGTGGCAGATTTGTTAGTGTTGTGCGCAGCGGAAATTTCGGCAGAGTTTCTGGTGCACAATAAGAGAGAAAGATCGATAAGAATTCTTATTTCTCAAAGGAAACAAGAATCTGAAAGCCTAATATCCCATCAAAGTGGGATATTTGCTCTTCCTCTCGTCAGCTCTAGGACTGCGCGTCGAGGGATCCTAAAAACTATTACAATGGCCACAAACTCAAACAACTAATTTTACGTGGTTCGGCAAACTGCCTACGTCCACGGGGCAAGGAGGGGGGTCTACTATTAAAGAGAAAAAAGAAATACAATGGGTTTACAACTCTCACAATCTAAACCCTCAAATAGGCTCCTTGCTTTTCTTCACAAGAAAAGGTCAGCCTCCAAATATTTTTTTTTTCTCTCTTCACAAAGCCCTAAGACTTTTCCTTGTTGCAGCCGCTATTTTTCTTCCCCTTCACTTTTGCTCTCTGCCAGCGCCCAAAGAAGAAAACTCAGCCGCACAAATTTTCTCCTCCCCTGGAACTTGCACAAAAAACCCTAGGCTAAAAAAGCCTATTTATAGCTGGGAAAAACAGTTCACGTGAAAGCAACAAGTGGTCCCCACGCGGAACCAAATTGACGCCATCACTTCACGCGGAAACAAACCGCGTGAACCTTTTTTTTTTTTCAAAGCTGCACGTCACGTGGGTGGGCCACTTTCCTATCCACGCTCACAGTTAGCACATAGAAAAGTGGGGTGTTAAATACTAAAAATTTGTTACGGTGCTGATAACTGCAATTACTAATATTTATTCATTTCTGTTATGTGTTGATGATGCGTGTTTGGGGTGGTACGAGGGCCTTCATAATCCAAAGTTGTTTGTGCCATTAAACTTCTCCACATCTATCTTCATAGAGTGGATATTCAAACTCTGAATAGTCTTCATGCCAGAAGCACCACCCTCGACACCCGAAGTACCTTCTTTCCCCGACATCTTACGCACCAACGAACAAAGAATAGATCCAAAACTAAAAGATAGAGTCTTTACCAAAAGATCCCACCTTTATCACCAACGAAGTCCTAAACGGGCCTCCAAATTGATCTACTCCTCTAACCAAACCCTAGATCTGGAATCTGGGCTCTGATACCACTTGTTTTGCGCAGCGGAAATTTCGGCAGAGTTTCTGGTGCACAATAAGAGAGAAAGATCGATAAGAATTCTTATTTCTCAAAGGAAACAAGAATCTGAAAGCCTAATATCCCATCAAAGTGGGATATTTGCTCTTCCTCTCGTCAGCTCTAGGACTGCGCGTCGAGGGATCCTAAAAACTATTACAATGGCCACAAACTCAAACAACTAATTTTACGTGGTTCGGCAAACTGCCTACGTCCACGGGGCAAGGAGGGGGGTCTACTATTAAAGAGAAAAAAGAATACAATGGGTTTACAACTCTCACAATCTAAACCCTCAAATAGGCTCCTTGCTTTTCTTCACAAGAAAAGATCAGCCTCCAAATATTTTTTTTTTCTCTCTTCACAAAGCCCTAAGACTTTTCCTTGTTGCAGCCGCTATTTTTCTTCCCCTTCACTTTTGCTCTCTGCCAGCGCCCAAAGAAGAAAACTCAGCCGCACAAATTTTCTCCTCCCCTGGAACTTGCACAAAAAACCCTAGGCTAAAAAAGCCTATTTATAGCTGGGAAAAACAGTTCACGTGAAAGCAACAAGTGGTCCCCACGCGGAACCAAATTGACGCCATCACTTCACGCGGAAACAAACCGCGTGAACCTTTTTTTTTTTTCAAAGCTGCACGTCACGTGGGTGGGCCACTTTCCTATCCACGCTCACAGTTAGCACATAGAAAAGTGGGGTGTTAAATACTAAAAATTTGTTACGGTGCTGATAACTGCAATTACTAATATTTATTCATTTCTGTTATGTGTTGATGATGCGTGTTTGGGGTGGTACGAGGGCCTTTATACAATATTTATTTGTTATTATTCCAGTCTTGTTGTATGCTTAATCTTGTTAGTTTATGGCTTATACTCAGCCACATTCTGTTACACTTTACGTAGTTCCTCTCTACTTATACTTACGGAGGCTTGTTCTGCAATTCTAACTCCACTTTTTGAACCACTACAGGTTTTTGCAATGCCTGAAACAGCATTGGGGTGTTTTCCAGATGTAGGTGCTTCTTATTTTCTTTCAAGGCTACGTGGATACTTCGGTACAGCTCTACCACGATAAAATCAATCATATTATGATATTTTTCAATCCTCTTTCCATATGTGCCCTTATCATAATAATCACTTTACGTATCATAATAAACGGTATGACTATCTCTTCTTGATGTGTACTATATGATTTTAACGGTGCATCAATAACCAGCATAACTACTTCTTTCCATTTTAGAAAAATATATACTGATGCAATGTATGGGCTCTAAAGGGATTCATTTATAATTTGGATGGATTCTATCGGAGTTTCTCTTCTTTGTATAGTCTCTTATGTAATTGTGTTTTATCTGATGCTTTTCTCCTGCGTTTACTTGTTTTCAGTGACTTTTTTCTTCATGTTATAAAATTTTTAATTTTTTTTGCAGAAGACAGAAAATTTTAAATAATTACACTTTTGTTTATTTCCAGGAGAGTATGTTGGCCTAACTGGTACAAGGTTGGATGGGGCTGAAATGCTTGCATGTGGCCTTGCAACACATTTTGTTCCTTCAACGGTATTCTCATCTTTCATAGAATGCTCTAAGTTATGAATACATCAAATGTAGTTTTCTTTCCCCTTTAGGTTAGTATTTATCATAATTATCGTATATTTTTCCTACTTAATGACATTTTTTTGGAGAATTATCATAATGCAACATGCCTGCTGAAATGCAAGGTTTCTTTTTCCAACACGATTTTATGTTTAATTGCTGAGGTTTTATTCCTATTTTCTCTATGCTCATATTAACAATTACTTCTTTTAAAGCTATAGATTAACAAATATAGACAAAATGCATTTCTAACTTGAAGTTTGTCAGATGCCAGAGATTGGATTTGCTGGAGGAATCATTTGTTAAGTTGGACAGTTTCGATTCTTTTACAGTCTGCAGAATTATCGATCAGTTTTCGGAGCATGTGCTCGTGAGAGAAAGCAGTGCTTATAACAGGTAAAAGATAGATGTGTTTATTTCTTCAGCCTACTTCGCTTATAACGAAACACCAATAAATAGTTACTTGCAGATTGGATGTAATTGATAGATGTTTCTCTAAAACAACCGTTGAAGAAATTTTGTCCGCTGTTGTAAGTTGAAATTTTGTCTGCTGTTGTAAGTTGATATTTCTTTAAAAGAGCTATTGAAGAAATTTTGTGTGCTCATATTTCGTAGACTAAGCAACTAGTTTGTCTATTGCAGGAGCAGGAGGTTGTACATTGGTCCAGTGAGTGGATTTTGACTGCAATAGAGTTATTGAAGAAGGCATCTCCTATTAATCTGAAGGTTGCACTCAGATCGGTATGAACTATCTAAGTTTTTAAACCATATTTTCTTTGCATTCTTGGGGTTAAAGGATCCTGATAGATGTCATTGATCAGTTAATTATCATCAATTTCCTTCTGTCAAGTAAATTTGGCATATCCATGTATCGTCCGAAGTTTAATTGGATGATGTATTGTTGTGTGGATTTGTCAATCAGACAATTTTTATGGTTGATTTTCTATTGTCTTCCAAATCCCTCAGCTTGAAGCAATGTGCTACGGCATGACCCTCGCTAGCATACAATCACCTTGACTGCAGATTTCTTGTAAATCTTGGTTGATGTCAACCTGGTTGATTCTTTTTCTGAAACCTTTTCAACATTGCACACCTCATTACACTGTTAAGAAAATATTACATGATTTTGATGAAAACCATGACCTTATTTTAGTAGATTCAGCCTCCATACTCAAATCCATCAAGTACTAGCCATGTATCTGTTTCTTAAGCTCCCTCTCTCCATTACTAAATAGTACACATATTTGGGCTTAGTTCTATAGCGATCATGTTTTATGAGGACTTTTTTAGCCGCCGGTGCACACCCTAACTGCTTCAATCATGTAAGTTATTTCTTCTGAAGTACAATGCCCTCATGCTCATTGCTAACCCATGCTCCTACAGCCCCCCCCCCCCCTATGGCCCTTTCCGAGCTCATTTTTGAGCCGGTTCCTCCACTCTCTTTTGCCTATAAATAGAGAGGAAGAGAGAAGAGGGAGTGGTGGGGGGAAAATCTTGAGTGAGTAGAGAGGAAAAAGAAGAGAGAGGAAGAGAGTACTTGTAATAGTTTGGTATTCTCCTTATAGTGAAAACCCCCTCCCGTGAACGTAGGCAAGTTTGCCGAACCACGTAAATCTATTGTCTTATCTTTTACTGAGAGTTGGTATTACTTGTAGGTTCCCTCGACAAGACTGTTGGGAATTTAACGCTGAAACCTCTAATGCAACAGAAACGCAGTATAGAAAAAGTACACCAAGATTTAACGAGGTTCGGCAACTGCCTACGTCCTCGGGAGCCACACAGATAATTTCTTATTAATCAAACAAGAAATTACAAATCAAGGGCAAATCCCTAAACTGGGATTTCTCAAATAAACACTGTAGCTACAGTGTTAATAATCAAAGGGTATGAACCCTTTCAATTCTCACTTGAGAATAAATACCCCACAATTAAATCCCTCTTTTTTAATTCTCTATTTCTCTCTCTTTTTTTTAATCCACTTCTTAATCTCCCCTCAAAAAATCAATTTGAGAGCTGGAGATGAATGAAATCACTGCTGTGATTTAATTGGGAAACGCGACTGCGTTTTGGGGCTTCGCCGGCAGAGAGAAATCGGAGGAGAGGGGGAAGCTTCGGCAGCTGCACCGACGGGCGCCAGCCTGTCGCCAGCGGCTAAACCTGACGCAAAGGTCAGGTTCGAACGCAGAGCAAATGGGGAGTTCGAACGCCGAGCTGAAAGGGTTCGAACGCAGACTTCGAAGGGTGCGTTCGCCGAAGTGTGCGTTCGCCGAAGTGTGCGTTCGCCGACTTGTGCGTTCGTCGACTTCGCCTGCGTCATCTCCGCCATTCTCGAGCTCGTCGGAGCTCGTCGGAGCTCCTCCGCCGTCGGAGGTTTGTTTCCACCCCCAATTCTAACAATCTCCCACTTGGAGACCAAACCGACGTCAACAGGCTATCTCATCAAGCTCCTCTCCTGTGTGGCTCCGCCCTCATCATCTATGCATGAAGGCCAACTGAAGTTGCGCACAACTCCAGTTTCTGAACTGTCACCGTCTTTGTTAACATGTCTGCTGGATTCTTACTTCCTGGAATCTTTTCCAGTTTTAACACGTCATCTTCCAACAGGGATCTGATGAAGTGGTACCGAAGCGCAATATGCTTCGTTCTAGAATGAAATGCTGAATTCTTCGCCAAGTGTATCGCACTCTGACTATCACTGTGCAAAACATTCTTCTCCTGTTTGAATCCCAGCTCTATCAACAAACCCTGAAACCATATCATCTCTTTACTAGCTTCAGTCACTGCAACATACTCAGCTTCTGTAGTGGATAGGGTAACGATCTTCTGTACCTGTGACATCCAACTGACAGCTGTAGTTCCAACGGTGAATACATAGTCGGTGCTTCTTCTTCGGTGATCAACTTCGCCGCCGAAGTCTGCATCTACGTACCCTTGTACTTCTACCTCTCCCTTACCAAAGTGCAAACACTTCTGTGTGGTGCCTCGTAGATATCTCAGAATCCACTTGACCGCTTCCCAATGAGCTTTTCCTGGATTCGACATAAACCGGCTGACCACTCCCACTGCATGGCCAATATCTGGTCTCGTACAGACCATAGCGTACATCAGGCTTCCGATAGCTGAGGCGTAAGGAACCTGAGCCATACTCTCTTTCTCTTCTTCCGACTGAGGAGACTGATCCTTCGATAAACGAAAATGGCTGGCCAAGGGTGTGCTCACAGGCTTGACGTTGCCCATGTTAAATCTCTGCAAAACACGGTTGATGTACTCCGTCTGAGATAACTGCAAGAGACCTCTCTTCTTATCTCTCGTGATTTGCATTCCAAGGATCTTCTTCGCTGGACCCAAATCCTTCATGTCAAACTCCTTTCACAATATAAACCCCACTTTAATTCCTCTCTCTCTTCTTAATCTCTCTTTTAATCTCCCCTCAAAATTCCCCTTTGAGAGCTGGAGAAAAATCGAAATCGCTACTGCGATTTGGGGAAAACGCTGCTGCGTTTTAGGGCAGTTCGCCGCCGCCGCCAGAGAGAAAGAATCGGAAGAAAAGGGGGGGAAGCTCAGCAACTTCAAAACCCTAGCCTGGGTTTTCTTTTATAGGCGGAGAGGAGAGCTGGCGACAGCCTGTCGCCAGCGGCTAAACCTGACGCAAAGGTCAGGTTCGAACGCAGAGCAAATGGGGAGTTCGAACGCCGAGCTGAAAGGGTTCGAACGCAGACTTCGAAGGGTGCGTTCGCCGAAGTGTGCGTTCGCCGAAGTGTGCGTTCGCCGACTTGTGCGTTCGTCGACTTCGCCTGCGTCATCTCCGCCATTCTCGAGCTCGTCGGAGCTCGTCGGAGCTCCTCCGCCGTCGGAGGTTTGTTTCCACCCCCAATTCTAACAAAGACAGTCCTAGAACTGATGAGAGGTTGAGCTGGAACAAGAGTTGGCCATTGCTTGTTGGTTCCCTCGACATTCAGTCCTAGAACTGTTAAGAGGAAGAGTGTATATCTCACTTTGTTGAGATATTTCACTTTCTATTCTTGTTTCATTTGAGAAACAAGAATATAGAGATTGACTTGTGCTTTTATGAAAACGAAAGTCAGGGCTATCTCTCATGTGATATCGCTTCCGCGGCGTGAGAACGTGACTCCGCGCCCAACAGTTGGTATCAGAGCCCTTGATCAGATTGGTGGTGGTAGAACTTCTGATTTGAGGTGGTGCTTGGTTATTGTGTGATAAAACACAAGGTATTTGTTAAAATTCCTGAGAGAAACAGTTTTATTAATACTAGCGGAAAATAACGTCTACAAGTAAAACAGTTAAAGTTGAAAAGTACGAGATTGAAAAATTCAATGGGAAAAATAATTTTTCCGATTGGAGGATGCAGATGAAAAATTCGTTGATTTCGTAGAAATTGCACAAAGCTTTAGCCGGAAAAGAGAAGAAGCATAAGGATATGTCTGATGAGGATTGGGAGGAGATGGATCTAGAAGCATGGGCGTCGATTATCCTTTGCCTTGAAAGGGATGTAGCTTTCTTGGTGGACGGGGAGGAAACGGTTGTGGGCGTGTGGTTAAAGTTAGAGAGCATCTTCATGACGAAGAGTCTAACGAACCGGATCTATTTAAAATTCAAATTGTATACTTGCAAGATGGAGGAGGGTTCATCAATCCGGGAATACATCAACAAGTTCGATAGGATCTTATCGGATTTGAAAGATATTGAGGTGACAGTGGAAGACGAGGATCAGACACTTCTACTACTTCTATCTCTGCCGAAGTCTTATGAGAATCTAGTTCAAACACTGATGCTTGTGGGTGATAGTTTGTCGATGGATGAGACTAGAACGGTGCTTCTAGCGGATGATCTTCGAAAAATTACAACTAGTGATATGGTCATTGGTGGTAACAAAGAACAAACGCATGGGTTTTTTGCCAAATGAAGGGGCAATGAGCGAGGAAAAGGTAATGAAAGAAAGTCTAGATCAAAATCAAGACCTCTTGCAGAAAGACCGTGTTTCAAATACGATGAGCTGGGGCATTTCAAAGTCAATTGTCCTAACAAGAGGGTAGGTGAGAAGAAGAACAACAACAAGACTGAAAGACGAGAAAGCAAGGAAAAGACGAGCTACGCTTCAAAGAAAGGGAGCGATAAGGAATGTTATGTCGTCATGAGTGACGAGGATACCTCCGAGAAGTGGATACTTGATTCTGGTTGCTCTTACCACATGTGTCCAAATAGGAAGTGGTTTACTACCTACAGGAGTATTGATCGTAGAACCGTATTGATGGGGAACAACCATGCTTGTAAAAGGGTAGGGCTAGGTGATATCAAGATCTGGATGTATGATGGAGTGGTTCGAACCTTAACGGATGTAAGACACGTTCCCGACTTACGGAAGAATCTTATCTCAGTTGGTGCTTTGGACTCCGGAGGTTGTAAGATCGTAACAGAGAACGGAGTGAAGATGGTTGTTCGGGGTTTCTTAGTAGCGATGATGGGCATTCGTCACGGTAACCTATATACTCTCTCAGGTACGATGGTTATGGGAGATGCAGCTGTTGGAACTGATGGAAGTGGTGGAGACCCATGTGAGCACACACAGTTATGGCATAGGCGGCTTGGGCACATGTTAGAGAAGGGTCTAGATCTATTCGGTAAGGATGGTTTGTTGAAGAATCTAAAGAAACCTTGCATGGATTTTTGCGAGGACTGTGTGTATGGAAAGGCACACAGGGTCCGGTTTTTGACAAGCAATC